TGAAGCTTCAATTTCTAAGTCAGGTAATGAGAGTACTTAGAATCCCTGAAACTCTGATTTTCGAGTTGTGTGATGTGGTTGGATCCTTTCAATCCAGAATCTATAAAGCTCCAGTTTTTAAGTCAGATGATGAGAATATGGATTTAGGTCTATTTGAAGAGCTCTTCTTTGAGAACATTTGTAATTGCATCACGTGCTGACACTATGAGATAATGCATATATAATGCATCTGCATATTCTTTCAAATTGTCTTACTCTTTATTGAATGCATATGCTGGATTCTTACATGAAGGAATAACCTCCTCCCATACAATCATACAATTAAGAGAGTTAAGTTGTCTTACAAAATCACACTCTCTTTTCAAAAATACTATATTATCATTGGATTAAAGATGGGAACTGTAATTAATATGTTGCAACTTTTAATGTTGCAACTTACGTTGCAATTAGTTTTAACCTATATATGTTGCAACTTATAATGTTGCAACATATGTTGCAACTAATTTTAGCTTATGTTGCAACATTTTGTAAATTTGAAATCAATTGCTGTACCATCTTTACATTGGATGGTTCCTCCTCTTTGTAAATTCCTTCTGCTTTCTCATAAATTAACTGAAAATGCTTTCCTTTAACATATTTCTTTTGCACTTCATATTCTTATTTATGAGCTTGAGTTGATGAACCAGGTCCAACTTCAGGATCTTTTTCCTGAGCATCTTGTTGCTCAATTATGTTAGGTTCTTGTACACCTTCTCTATATGCTTGAGTTAGTGAACCTGGATCTGCTTCAATATCAGGAGTTTAGTTAATCACTTTTGGCTTTTCCTGAGCATCTTGTCACTCAATCATGCTAGGTCTCTTCTTTTGACTCTCCTTTTGACTAGAAGTTTCAGGAGTTGGAGCTTATTTAGTATATATTAATTTTTATTACTTTTGTAATACTAACAAAGTTTTTGAGATGTAGCAAAATCTTATTATAGCAAAATATTTACAATTTTTTTATCTTTTCTAAACATGATACTATAATAAGTTTACCTCTAATATATATGTAAACATTTGTTCAATTTAAATTAATTAATTATATCACCTAATATTCAATTACCTTTTTTTTTTCTATTTTTCAAAATTATGAGAAAATAGGGCTAAAAAACATCAACCTTGTATAGAATCAGGATATAATAAGCCTACTGGATCATCTTGTGGTCGTTGTCATCTTCATACTAGAGGCTATTATATGATTCAATATATTAATAGACTTCAGGATAAAGCCCTGATGTTTGATATGTGTTCAAGAGGTTAGACTTTTAGTAAAAGATAGATTTATTATATATTTAGTTGAGATGTTAGACTTTTTTTTACGGTTTGATTTTACATATAGGTAGACAAAAGATTAGACTTTTTTGTCTTAGGTTTGTGTAAAGGAAATGGCTTAGAATAGTTTCCTGTATGTTGATAAATTGATAATATGCTAGAACATAATCATTAAGCTTTTGGTTTGCAAATTAGATAACAGTTAAATCTAACCTCGAAAGGTTAGACTTAACTTATGGTATGTATTTAGGCTTGCATGGTCAAGCCTAGTTCAAATAGCGTCACTTTGTTCCTTGATTTTTGATGCCCCTTTCAGAGTCAAGCAGAATAGCATAAAAGTTATTATTCATATTGGGTTTGCAATATCATACCTGACTCAAATTGCTTCACTTTGTTCCTTGATTTTTGATGGCCCCTTCTGAGGTAAATAAAATAGTAAAAATTTTTTGATATATTATTTGGGATTAAAATCAGGTTAGAATGGTTATATCAATCAGTGTAATTCTTGGTATCAGACAGGTTAATTTCTAGTAAAGTTTAATATTATCATCTAGATTTGAGTTAAAATAGGGTAGAGGCTTGAATTTAATAATTGATTCATATAGCTAAAATGGATTCGCAGATAGACAGGAATCTTTCTAAGTATGATTTTGGAATTTTGTCCTAGAAACCCCATTTTTGGCGTAGTTTCTGCCTTTATCTGTTTTAGCAATTAGAGCAGATATTCGTGAAAAGTTTGTTATTAATGTAAAATCTGCTATTGTAGGAGGAATGAGTTTATTCACCCTTAAAAAAATAATAATTTTCACTTCAAAACCTAATCCAAATAAATTATTCCAGTAATAACTTGACTATGTTAATAGGAATAACTTGAGAACATAAAAAATCAAAAACTTGAAGGAATGATGTACTTATGAAATTCTTCTATTATTTGAATTTAGCTTCTTTGAAGTATAAACTGGATGCTTTATATAATATATTTACTAAGATAAGTGTTTTAGGATCAGAACATATATATTGGTTCTAATGCAAATTTAAGACAGATTACAATATAAATAAATTGTTTATATTGGTTTGTAGCATCTAGTCATGGCAAATTTTTTAAGCAAAATTTAATTTGTTATTAAAAATAAATTTTTAATTTTTAGATAAAATCTTTCTATTTATATATTTTTTATAACCTGTATTTTAAATTAATGAAAAGATTTTTAAAATTCGATCATTAATTCAAAAGAAATAAGCATTTGAAAATAATCCATTTTTATATATTGTGAATAACATCTAAAATAAGCAGATTTGATTGGTCAATTTAGTATTTGTGATCACATGTAAATTTTGCTATTAGCATTTTTTTAAACTAAACCATATCAAGATTTGATTATTTAATAATCTCTTTTTAGTTCAGTCAATAAAGATTGAATAAGCAATTCCTTTTTGCTTTTTTTTCTAATGAGAAAAAAAAATGCCAATTTTATAAATGTGAAAAATTTACCAGTCAGCCAGTTTATAATTGGTTTACATTAAAATTCATTCTCATTGGTACATTTACACATATAAAAAAATAAAATAATGTAAATCAAATTTTACAATTTATTTCTAATAGAATGTCAGTCAAAGCAAAAAAAAATATTTAGTACATTTAAATATATCTTCAAAGAATAAGTCATTTATTGTTGAAGATTCTTCTTCATTTGAGAAAGTTTCTGAAATATCTTCTGATGATGAAATTGTATAGATAGATTTTGAACTTGATAATGAATCTGAAAATACATTAAAAAAACTGTTTATAGTTCAAAAAATATCAAACCTTCAAAATGACTACTTTGATACATAGATAATAGCATCTGAACTAAAAAAGAAAAAAACAGTTGCAAAAAAAATGGCTGTAGAAATGGCAATACCATTACAAAGTTTTTCTTCCTATACAAAATAAGCTTGATATACAAATGAATAATATTCAACCAAATGAATTAGAAGGCTACAATCAAATTCAAAATATTTTTAATGATATTGATACAATAAATTTATCTACGAAATCAGAAGTAGAAAGTAATCCTGATGATAAAATTGAGTTCAAAATTTAATTCCTCTTATAGAAAAAAACTTCAAGAAGAAAATTTACTATTTGAACAAAAATGGCGATTGGGAGCTGTACTTCAATATTGTTAGTATTATCAATTAAAATATTAGAAAAATAGAAGCCAGCCTTTTTATTGCACAACAATTAGGAAAGAATAAGTATTTTGTTCATCAACTTCGAGAATGGACTTGTATATTAGCACAAAAACAAGAAATCCCTATCTCAATATGCGGAAAACATATTAAAGTCAAAAGCTTACTTGATGACGAAGATGTATGTCACAAAATTATTAACTATTTACAAATCAATAATTTTGAATTTTATTTATCTGACTTTATGAATTATGTATCAAATTTTATATTTCCAAAATTAGGTATTAATTGTGAAACCAAAATTGCATATGTAATATTTTTTTTTATTTATTAGAAAAACTAAAGCTTGACATTGGCTTTGTAAAATGGGTTTTCAATATAAAAGATTTCATAAGGGAATATACATTGATGAACATGAAAGAGCAGATGTTGTTGAATATCATCAACAATTTCTTACTCAAATGATAAGGTATATTATAATTAATTAATTATTTATTTATTTATAATTAATATATAATAATACTTAATCTTTAAATAGATATGAAAAATCAATGCCACAATTTGAAGGAGATGATTTAAATATTCAAATAAATTCTTCTTTTAATGAAACAGAAAAACTTCACATTTTTATTACTCATGATGAAACATTATTTCAAGCTAATGATGGTCGAAAATCTGGATAGAATCCTGATACTGAACAACCACTTCGAAAAAAAGAACAAGGTTGATCAATTCATATTATTGATTTTTTGTATGAAACTATTGGAAGACTTAAACTTAATGAAGAACAAATAAAGACTGTTAATGAAAGTTTTCCACATAAAGCAAAAGTAATAATATATCCTAGAAAAAATCATGATGGTTATTGAAATGTTGAACAATTAATTAAACAAGTATGTTATAATATAATCTTTTTTTTTTTTTATTATTTATAAAAATATAATTTATTTAACAACTTTATTTAATATATAGATTGTTGAAAAGGCTATTCCTATTTTTGAATTAACACTTTCTGGAGTTATTGCTGTATTTGCTTTTCTTCACATGATGCCAGTAAATTACTTAACAGTCTTAGTTTTAATAGGTAAATTAGTTAGTTTTTTAGTCTTTTTTATTCTTTTTCGTAAGTTAGTTATACTAGGCATAAGTTTTTAATAACCGTTAGTAGTAAAAGAAAAAATTCCTCACAGTTCGTTTGTGGTAGTAAATAAATTTGTAATGCTCTTCGCTAGAAAAATCACGTGCGCGTTACTTTCGGAACTTGGTACTAATCCATTATTTATTAATCAGAAACACGCTATTAATTGCAAGATTTGCCTCAAAGTTAATAAAGCACAACATGCATCAAGGCCCAGACACAATAAAATAATGCATATCAAGTTTGATCTCAATCGTAATAATTGTATTGCAATATTTTTCGCTTTTATTTGTTAATCTCGAGTTTTATGTCACAATCAAAGTGATTTCGTAAAATTCCAATTAAATTCAAAACATCCATTCGCATAGTTTTTTTTGTATCACCAAGCGAATGTAAGTCCGTTGTTTTGCACGGTTTCCATATGCCAAACTTCTTGCCCATCTAAACGACGAATTGCCCTAGAATCTACTTTGACTATGCCTGAATTTGTCGTGGATTTTGTTATTTTTGCTGAAGACGCATGACTTTCAATCCAGTCGAGGTTGAGATTCAAAAACGTCCTCTCATAAAATTTTAAAATCGATGATATTTGATATGTAATAAATTTCCGTTCGCCTATATTTCGGTCCATCGTAGGATTAATATCTACGAGATTGTAGCTAAAAGAGAAGTAGCTATCAGTAACTTCCTTTAACCAATCAATAAAATCAATGCCTACTTACAAGTCGAGGAGAACTTTCTCCCAATACAACCGGAAAAGTTCATCCGGAACATTAACCTGAACTGCAGTTTTAAACCTAATTCCGGTTTCCTTGAGAACGGTATTTATATATTCTTCCAAATCGGGTGTCCATATTGTAGGGTTGGCATCACGAACAGAGAACAGCTCAATAGCGAGCTCCTCACCGATTTCTGAAGATAACTCCGAGACCGTTTTATCAAAAGCACATATGGGGTGAGTGCTGGGAAAATGGACCAAATTGATTTTTTTTTTTAAAAAAAGTTTCTAAGTAAAATAGATGTAGATTTGGTCATCTGATTCAGATCATTTGTTATTTCAAAAAAAAAATTTTTTGTTGATTTGGTCCCTTTTCCCAGCACTCACCCCATATCATGTATATATCTTCGGAGTATCTAGAGATTCGCAAGGCAAGATATTATTAGAATGCCTCTCATTCGTTTAGTGAGAAGGAAATGGGAAACTTACTGCTGAACTTCCTTTTCAAACGGTCGTTTATTAGGCGTCGTCATCAACGGACTCAAATCCCAAGGTGCTTGTAGCGGAGTTCTGGGTGGTTGAGATTCTGACGATTGTGAATGGGTATTACTTGTAGTGCCTACTCTCTTAGGCTTCTTCGGTTTCTTCTCTTCGTAAGAATCGGAATCCGTCTCTGGTTCGGTATAGTCTACCTTCCTCTTTTCCCTAAGAACCATCTTAGTCGAAGAAGAATTTCCTTTCTATAAGTAAGTATAAATCAGTTTCAATGTAATTATCCTTGAAGTTTTAACTGGGCTCACCTTTTTCGTTGGTGATGCAGTTGTGTAGATTGAAATTTGTTTTTTTTGTACAGCAGATGACGTCTCTTGAGACCTGTTCTTTCGAATTCTAAAATCCCTTTTTTCTAAATTCAGAACAAAAAGTTTAGCAAAGTATCACTATAGAAGTTCTTGTAGATAACTTACCCACTGCAATATTGATTTCTCATCAATTAGCTCAGACTCCATAACGACGTCTTGTAGATTCCAAAAAAGCTTTACTGAATCAGACCTTTTATCCTCCTAGAAAAAAATTGTTTATGAGAAGAGAAACGCATGACAATTTCTTTGCTTTTATACACAGATCCATTAGAACCAACTATGGACAAGCATTCCACCATTCCCTTGCGAGCATTCCATTCACAAAGTAGTCCATATGAGCATTCCACTCAAAAATTAACTACGGACAGAGCATTCCACCTTTCCTTTGTGAGCATGCCATTCACAAAGTAGTCCGTACAGACATTCCATCTGCGTAATCCGTGTATAATAACTAAACAAAATGTATAAATATTACCTTGAAATCACTCTTCCACTTTAACACTTGCTGGCCGATTTCAGATACTTCAGAGTAGTACTTGCTGATGGTATTCAATTCGCTTTGATAACGATAGTGCTCTACTTTCGGATCTTCCAAATCACCTGCGTGGAACCGGAAGTCTAAAAACTTCTTGAGTGAAGGATTGACATTATTCTTCCAAAAGGCTACATAATCAAATGATAAGTTAATATAAGGCGTGTTCACAAGAAATGAGTACTTTGTCTTACCAGGATAACTTAAAGCTTGAACGTTACGTCTTGTTTTAATTATCTAGCAATAAAAGATAAGTACAGTCAAACCTCTATATAACGATACAAATGTTTTGAGAAAAAAATATCGGTATATCAAGTTATCGTATATTATGTTGATCAATATCGGAATATAATAATAAGCCAATCAGATTTCAATAATAAATATCTTAAAGAAAAATGTTAATTTTATAGCAATATTATTTAAGAAATCAATTATTAAAATAAAAAAAAAACTCTTTCCTAAAAAATAACAAAAATGCCAATAACTAGACAAACGAAAAATAGAACCGCTAATAAAAACTCTCAAACTCTTTCAAATAATAAAAGAAATAATAACAACACGAACGACAATACTTCTCCTAGCTCTAGCCAACAAACTTTACTTACTAAACAGACTGAACAACCAAAAAAAATCAAACTCTCTTCCGATAATTTTTCCCAAAATATAGAAACACCTTTAGAACAAACTATTAACAATATTATTACTGGTAACGACTTTATTCCACCTTCTAATGACTCAGCAGTTGAACATACTACTCCAGAAATTATGGATATTGACTCAACTTCCACAGACTTAAACGATAAAGAAACGTATTCTTCTCCTGCTAAAGATACGACTCATGACTCTATGCACGCTTCTAGCTC